TACAGAACTGTCTACAATAACAGTTTCCTTGTTTTTAGCTTCCTCAAAGTAGAGTTCACAGTGTTAATTTTATAATATAATAAATATATCCAACATTTATGTATTAGTTCTTGACTCTACATGTTGTTGTTCTTAAGTGCTGTCAAGATGATTCTGACTCATAGCAACCCTACGTACAACAGAACAGAACAATGCCCTGTCTTGTGCCATCCTCACAATCCTTGCAATGCTTGAGCCCATCATTGCAGTCACTGTGTCAATCCATCTCATTGAGGGTCTTCCCCATTTTCTCTGATCCTCCAATTTACCAAGTATGATATCCTTTTCCAGGGACTGGTCCCTTCTGACCATATGATCAAAGTAGGTGAGATGAAGTCTGGCCATTCTTACTTCTAAGGAGCATTCTAGCTGCATTTCTTCCAGGATAGATTTGTTAGTTCTTCTGGCAGTCCATAGTACCTTCAGTATTATTTGCCAACACCACAGTTTAAAGGCATCAATTCTTCTTCAGTCTTCCTTATTCCCTGTCCAACTTCACATTCATATGAGGTGACTGAAAATGCATGGCTTGGGTTAGGCACACTTTAGTCTTCAAAGTGACATCTTTGCTTCTTAACACTTTAAAGAGGTCTTTTGCAGCAGATTTGCCCAATACAATATGATGTCTGATTTCTTGACAGCCGCTTCCATGAGTGTTAATTGTGGATCCAAGGAAAATGAAATCCTTGACAACTTCAATCTTTTCTCCATTTATAATGATGTTGCTTATTGGTCTAGTTGTGAGGATTTTTGCCTTTCTTTATATTGAGGGGTAATCCATACTGAAGACTGTAGTGTTTGATCTTCATCAGTAAAAGCTTCAAGTCCTCTTCATTTTTGGCAAGCAAGTATGCATATGCAGTTGAGTCATCTGATATGCAGATTATAAAAGTAAAATTATTTAATAGACAAAATTATTTTCAAAACAAAATTAAAGAAATGAAGAAGACTTAAAAATAAGTCAAGAGAAGTTAAGATGGCAGAGTTAGACATGCCTAATTTGAAAGTCCAGCTCTGTCACTTATTAGCTGTGTGATCTTGGACAAGTTATTTTACCTCCTTTTCAGCCTCAGTTTCCCAATCCATAAATTGGGAATCTTATCACCTACCTCACAAAGTCTAGTGAGGATTAAATAGGATCATAACATATAGCATGATGCCTGGTGGATTACATCTTCAATAATATGCTAATTTCTACCACTTTAAAAAAAATCAAGCAGTTCTCCTTCCATGTATATTATAAACCAATTTCTTCAGGTACTCTCATACCTTATCTCATTTTTCTTCTTGGGGAAAAAAAGGAAAGATCTTCTGGACTTCATAAATACCTTACCCCGATGAACTGTTTTGTAGGAAGTAAAGTACTTGAGTTTTTACTTTTCCCTTATTTTAAAGACTTAGTTTTATGTATTTCTTACAATTTCCCTATAAGTCATTTAAAATATTAAGTTTTTGTTTACCTAGCTTATAGTTACCTTCTGATGTTAACTTTTTACATTTCAATCATTTACTGTCTTCACTGACATTTTTTCTTTTAATCATCTTATCTCCTATTTGTTATTATTTTAACTCTATCTTTTCTTAAAATATAATCTTTTTCTTACTTATGGATTATTCTTTAATCAACAACATGCAACACCAGCATGGGATATGTAGTTTTGAATATCTACTCTTCTAAATGATCTGAATATTATCACTAGATCAAGCAAGACTTCCAGAGACCTTGGACCATACTGTTTTAATACCCATCACTTTAAACAGAGGTTTCTCAACCTTAGCACACTGACATTTTGGGTCAAATAATTCTTCGCTGTGGAGGCTGTCCTGTATATTAGATGATGTGGAGCAGCATCCCTGGCCTCTCCCTACTAAATGCCGGTAGTGCATCCTCCTCCCAGCTGTCACAGTCAAAATGTTCTAGATATTGCCCTATGTCCCTCAGGGAGCAAAATCATTTCCAGTTGCAAAGCAATGCTGTAAAAATTGAATGGGACCCTTTAAAAAAGAGTCATATGAAGGGATGGTGTAGAGGATATTACTGATTACACTACTCTTTATCTTCCACTGTGAGGGCCCACAGGAGAAATCTGTCTTGGACTTCAGTGCAAATGCAATGTTATCTTCTTATGGATAATGTGAATCTTAACTAATCATATTTTCACCTTTTCTTTGACTACTAGAAATTTCAAAGCAAATTTAATAAACATGTAAGACCTACAGCATGCATTTAAGTGTATTAATTCTCTCCAAGGTCAGTTTAATTCATTTTTTTACCATGAACTTTTAAGAATTATTTCTTTATCTGACCATAATAAAAGTATTTTTGCATGTGGACACAAATCCTTTTTTGAATGAGGTTTAAAATAGTAAATAAAAATGGTTTCTAAACTGTAATTTTCTCCAGAAGTTCACACCCCTTTGTCCCACTTATCACTCCTCTCAAAGTCTCCTACTAGATTTCAATCTTCTAGTTTTCCCTCACAAATGATTTAGTCTACTTTGTCTAGCAAAGGATATAACTAAATCCATTCATTTTACAAAGTTCTGGGCTCAGAGGTACAAGGCTTTTCTACCAGATATATAATTATCTGTATGAAGTTTATAATTATATCCTCCAACATTTATTGGAAGTATATGAGATTCTAAATGCTGCATGTCCAGTAGCCTGCCCAGGCATCAGTATATCACTCTGTGTGGGATGATGGGAGGAGAGCAGACCAGTATTTTCTTTTCTCTTGTTGATGCCGGCTTTGTAAGCTTCCCTCTCCTTAGTAAAGCCTATTTCTAACCCATGCCAAGTCACATTTGGATGACATTCTGAATCCTAGTGCATAACAGATGGTGATATAGGAATGGCTCATCCTGTGAAACAGTGTCAACTACGAGGGACCTACTTGTCCCTACACTATAGCATTACTTTTGATCGTGCTGAAAGAAATAATTTTTTCTCATTCTAAACTATTCTAAGACCTCAAATCAGATTGACAAGATATAGTATTATATTATACAGATCCATCAACAGGTGAGTAGATAAACAAATGTGGCATATTCATACAAAGTACCCATACATAAAATATGGTAACCTCAAAAATATTACACTAAGCAAATGATACAAAAGAGTACATCTATATTGTATTACTCCAGTTATAAGAAATTCTAGAAGAAGCATAAAACTAATCTACAGAGACTAAAGTAGATTAGTGATTGGCTAGGGCTGGTGGAGTGCTGGCTTCAAAAGGGCACAAAGAACTTTATAGAATGATGGAAAGGTTATTTTTGTTCTAATTTCTTTATTGGAATGATGTTTTCACAGGTTATGCATTTGTCAAAACTCACCACACTATACACTTAACTTGGGTGCAAATACAGTATTGCTAAAAATTCATAACCTTGAACGAGTGATGAGAAAACACGAGACAGCCAAATTGCGGGACAGTACACAAAATAACTGACCAGTTCTCTTCAAAAAAGGAGCTCTGGTAGCATAGTGTCTAAGGCACTTGACTGCTAACCAGAAGGCTGGCGGTTCAAACCCACCAGCCACTCCTCGGAAGGAAGATGGGGCAAGCTACTTCCATAGTGATACTGCCTCGGAAACCCAAGGAGGGGTCGCTATGAGTTGGGTCCGACTTGATGGCACATAACAACAACAACAACTCTTCAAAAGTATCGAGGTCATGAAATATAAGAAAAGACTGAGGAACTGTCACAGACTAGAGGGAGACTTTGGGAATATGACAACTCAATGTAGTGTGAGATCCTAGAACAGAAAAGGATGTTAGTAGAAAAAACGAAGTCTGCAGTTTAGACACTAGTATCGTACCAATGATAATTTCTTAGTTTTTGTTAGTTGTACTCTAAACCAAACTCACTGCCATTGAGCCAATTCTACTCATAGCAAGCCGCACTGCATTTCCAAGGCCACAAATCTTTATGGAAGTAGACTGCCTCATCTTTCTCACGTGGAGCAGCTGATTAGGTTTGAACCACTGACTTTCTGGTTAGCAACCAAATGTCTTATCCACTATACCACCAGAGCTCCTTACAATTGTACTGTAGTTACGTGAATTTTTAACATCAAGGAAAGGTGAATGAAGGGCATATAGAAATAAAAATTTTTCGAAATGGGTAAAATTTATTGTTTAATTATTACCTCAATTAGAGTTTATTTAAAATTTAAAAAATAAAACAAAAACATATGGGAATTATTAAGAAGTAGCTCTATCCCCATGGTGCCCTATTGGTGCAATGGCTAAGTGTTCAGCTGCTAACTAAAGGCTGGAGGTTCTACACCATCAGTGTCTTTGCAGCAAAAAAAAAAAAAAAAAAAAAAAAACACCTGGAGATCTGCTTCCAAAAAGATTATACCCTAGGAATCCTTATGGAGCTGTTCTACTCTTGTCCTATGAGGGACTTGACTAGAAGGCACATAACAACAACTCAATAAATCTAGTGATAAAACACCCAACATTCTTTACTGAAAGCATTCTTATATTTAAATAGAAAGATGAAGGTCGGCAATTCAAACCCACCAGCTGTTCCGTGGGAAAAAGATGAGTAACCTACTTCAGTAAAGATTTACAGTCTCGGAAACCCAGTGAGGGTTGCTATGAGTCAGAATCAATTTGATGGCAGTGGGTTTGTTTGCTTTTTTTATTTTATTAATTAAAATGAAAATCTCAAAATTACTTTCCTCAGAATCATAATGATATATTTCTCACATAAATGCTAATAGCTATTAACAATAAAAGTATTACATGTTCAAACAGAGAGGAGACAACAGAATTCATAAAAATTGTAAAGTCCACATTATAAAATATTTCATATCTGTGACTCTCACGCCTCAGAACAGTTACATATCTGGAGTCCAGAAACTATATTATCTCATTTACATTCATTAAAGAATAGAAAGATATGGATAGAAAAACAATCAAAGAAAAATTAAAATGTTTACAGCATACCTCCTCTGTTTCCATTCTCTTCATCCTACAAAATAAAAACATATACATACATATGAATACATATTTTAAAAGTCTGATCAAATCACAGTAAGCCTCAATTCAATCCAAATCACTCTCTAAAAATTTGCTAATTTACACTCTCACAAATGATACCTTTTGTCCACACTCTTGTTCACAATGGTTGTTGTAAATCTTATAAATCTTTGGAACTTTAGTAGGCAAATAATAGTACCCCACAGTTTTACATTTATTTAATTATAGGTCATGTTTAGTAGTTTGTCCTGTGTTTTTTGGCAATGTGTATTTCTTCTTCTGTGACTCATCCATTCATGATCTTTCCTTTACTTATTTGTAATCATTGTATGTATGTATGAACATTAATCTTTCACCACAAGTATGAATTATCTGCACAGATCACTGTTTATCATTTGACTTCATAGTGTTTTTGTTTTCACTTTTTTTGCTGTGTATCATTATGTGGTCATTTTTATTAATCTATTCATCATTTGTGGATTCGCATTTTTTATCAAGCTTACAGGGAGCTCTGATGGCACAGTGCCTAAAGCATTTGACTGCTAACCAGAAGGCTGGCAGTTCAAACCCACCAGCCACTCCTTGGAAGGAAGGTTGGGCAATCTACTTCCACGGAGATAAACCAAAAAAAACCAAACTCACTGCCATAGAGTTGGATCAGAATCATAGTGACCCCTCCTTAGGCTTCCGAGGCAGTATCACTATGGAAGTAGATTGCCCAACCTTCCTTCCGAGGAGTGGCTGGTGGGTTTGAACCGCCATCCTTCTGGTTAGCAGTCAAATGCCTTAGGCACTACACCACCAGAGCTCCCATCCATAGAGATATGGCCTTAGAACCCCAAGGAGGGGTCACTATGAGTCGGAAACAACTTGATGGCAGTGAGTTTGTTTTGTTTTTTTAATCAAGCTTACAAAACCCTTCCTCTCACCAAGACTGTAAAAATACTTATATTTTCTTTCAGCATTTTTATGATTTCAAACTAAATATGTATACTTTTAATGTATCTCTTATTAATTTTAGTAAAAGAAATAAGGGAGGGATCCTACTAAATTTTTCCCTCCTCACAAATAGTTAGCTAAATGTCCCAACACAGTATGTAAAATTATTTATTTATTTATTTTACCTTTTTAAAACTTTTATCTTTTTTAAACCTGTATTGTTTGTAAACTAAATATGTGATGTTAACAAATGAATTTTACACATATGTGAAATTTACTCCTTTACATGTCAAAATTTAATTCTACTCATTTTATGAAAATCATTCCCTTCCCTTCTTGAACTCTGATAAATGTATTTTAAATTTTTCTCACTAACTCTAAGTCATTCACTCATTGACCAAATAAATACTCTGTGCTAGCTGCTTGGGATCCATCCATGAGCAAAACAAAGATCCTTGCTCTATGAAGCTTATTATTTAGTGGAGGAGGTAGGCAACAAATAGTAAAAACTATATAACAAAGTAAAATATATTAAAAGGAAATAAGTACCATGGGAAAAAAAAAAAAGTAAAAGTAAGCCAGGGTAAAGGGGGTTGGGAGTACTTGCAGGGGAGGCAGTGCAGCATTAAAAATGGTGGCCAGTGTAGCCTCATTATGAAACTGCCACTTAAAGACTTGAAGAAGGTAAGGGAGGTAGACATGTGGATATCAGGAGTAAGAAAACACATGGATATCAGGAGGAAGAAACTTATAACCACAAGGAGTAGCTAGTGCAAAGGTTCTCAAGCATATGCTTGGCACATTCCAGCAAGGAAACCAGTATGACCAAAGCCAAATGAGTGACAGCGAGGTGAGCAGGAGATGGGTTAGAGAGGTAATGGTGAGGAGAAGTCATATAAGGCCTTGTATTCCAGGTGAAATGAGGGACTTCTTATGTGAGATTTTAAGCAGTGTGATGTGATTTATGTTTTAGTACAATCACTCTGGCTTCTGAGCTGAGAACAGACTCAAAGGAAGCAAGAGTAAAGTTAGGGAAACCAGTTAGGAAGCTAATTGTAGTAATCCTGGCAAAAGAGTATGGTGAGGAGAACTAGTGATAGCAGTGGGAACAGAAAAAGGTGGTCAGATTCTCCACATATTTTGAAGTCAACAGGATTTCTTGAGGGGCTGAGTGTGGAATGTGAGAGAAAGACAAGTTCAAGGAGGACTCTAAGTTTTGACCTAAGGAACTATAAGGATGGAATTATCATTAACAGAGATGGAAAAGCTATAAGTGTACACAATTTAGGGAGAAACACATCAGGAGTTCACCTTGGACATATTGAGAGTGAGGTGTCTATTAGAGCTATTCAAGTAGAGTTATTGAGTTGACAGTTGTATAGGTAAATCTAGAACTCTGGAGAGAGGGCCAGGCTGTGGTCACTTAGTGTACTATACTTTAATAGAATGATGCCCTTAGGGGCTACTATAAGACCCAAAGCTATCTTTATATAAAGTAATTGGCTCCAAATTGCTATACATTTAAGTTCTTGAGTTCAGTTTTGAAGTTTGCTTATCTGTTTGGTTTACCCTTGCTGCCATGTTGTCTACCTCTAGCTAGAAAATTAAAAAAGCAAAACTAGTATATAAAATACATTTATTCAAATGTTTTTTGAGCTTCTACAATATGGAAACCACCATTACTATATAAAGAAAAAAAAGACATTTAGTGGAAGGCCTGATCATTTATTATGTAATTTTTGACCTTTAGTTTGGCCGCCCAAATTTTTATTTTCTCCTTTTCACTCTAGCTATGAGTACCGTTTTGAGACTGATAAGGTCTCAGGTAATAACCTACTACTAATAAAGACACTGTTATGTTAATTGTACATTTTCTAAAAGTTATACAATATTAAATTTTTTAAAAATTCCTTTGAACTTTTAAGACACCCTACAGGCCTGGAACTGAACTCACCCCATAGAACAACTTTCAGCCTAACAGTAGACAGCCCTATAAGGTGAGCAATAACATCAGAGAGGAATGTACTCCATAGTACAATCAACTATACAAGACCAAAGGGCAACATCTGCCTAGGGACAAAGCTCAGAAGGCAAGAAGGGACAGGAAACAAGGACAAAAGGAAACGGTAAACACAGAGAGGAAGTGGGAAGAATGTTGTTACACTCTGAGAATTGCCATCGATGTCAAATAACAAAATGTGTACCAATTGTTGAATGTGAAAGTAATTTGCTCTGTAAACTTTCACCCAAACCACAATAGTTTTTTTTTAAAAATTCCTTTAGAGTGAATTACATTTTTTTTTAAAATTCGTAATTGTATAGGAAAAGATTTCAATATATATTTTCCATGTAAACTTAAAAGACTGAGACTGATTTTGCAGGAACATCTGCATTAACAGCCAAAATTTATTGTGCAATTACTATACATTAATTCCTGTGCTAAATGTTCGATACATATGATATATTTAATCATCATAATGACATGTGAGGAAGGTGCTGTTACTGTCTGGTAGGTGACTTAACCAAAGTCACAGAGCTAACCTGGGGCAGAATTAGGACTCAAACATAGGTTCTTTTGATGTCAGTGACTATGCTATTAACAATTATGCTGTGGTGTTAAAATTACTAGAAAATACTTTCTAATACTAATATTTTTTTACCTGTGTTTCATAAAATTATAGAAATTATACTACCTATTATTCACCATGATCCAAAGCTTTTATTAAAAACAAAACAAAAGGAATTCAGTCCTAAAATATAATTAAAGGTGACTCATAAATTATCAAGCACTCTCTTATGTGACCTAATATATAAGCCATGCTATTTTAAACCTTTTAAGATCAAGTTGATTCTCAGAGAATTCAGTTCAGTAGTTTTATAGACATTTTCAGGAAACCTAAACTGATAAATTTTAATTTCAAAAGCAGTAATTAAAAATAATAATACTTAAAAACTATTCAGTGCTTAGAAAAGCATATTCTATACAACATTTTGCTGGAAAGATATTAACAAATATATAATAAAAAGAATGTGGTGTCTAAAACAATTTGACACTACTTTTTAAAAGACCATTCTAGATTTATAGATACTTAGAATTAGAAAAATCTTTATGGAGCAGTTCTACCCTGTCCTATAGGGTCAGTATGAGTCGATACCAACTTGACAGAAATAGGTATGGGTTCTAACCTTCTAGTCCAGTTCCCTCAAATTAAGATGGAAAATTGGAGGGCAAAAGAAGTTAAGTGGTTTGGCCAAGTTCTACCAACTCTTCTGAATACTGTTCCTTTCATTATTGTCTGTGTAATAGCTCATGTTGACCAAGTTCAAATTCCAGGACCACCACTTATCCTTTATATGACCCAGAGTAGTTTCCATATGCAGCTGTTAATACTATCTGCTCCATAGGATTTTTGTGTGAATTAAGTGAGAAAATGTTCACAAAGTATAGAAAAGAACACAAAGCAAGTATTTAATGTGTCAGCTACTATTACAATTATTCCATGTGGCCTCTCATTAGATGATGTTTCTATACACTAAAGAATATTCATGTAATTCATTCTAGTGAGAAGCTGTGTCTTTAGATTCTAGCATTCCATCATAACACATATCTAAAAGTTAAGTACTTTTCTAATCCCAACACCTTTGATAACTGTCAGAATATTTTAATGAACTATTTCCTCTGCACACTCTGCCCAGGAAACTCATCACCTTTCTAGACAGTAACAAAACAACTGCATGTTAGAAAAACAAGTAGAACAAAGCCTAAAATTAGAAAAACAGGTTTAGAACTCAGAATCAGCATGACATGTTAGAGAAGATTAATGTTTTTGTTTTAAAAAGTAGAAAAATATCCAAGAAAAGAAAAAGAATATAGTAAGAAATGCAAATATAATTATTTTAAAGTAGAAAATAGCTAAGAGAGGAAGGTAAAAGGAGACAAGAAGGAAACAGAAGGCGCTTTTTTTCTTTCTTTCTTTCTTTCAAGTTACTTTAATTATTTCTCTTACCTTATATGAAAATTGAATTGCAGACTCTGGGGGATAAACAATAAAATGCCTTAATGTAAAACCAAAGCCTTGAGATGTTCTTTTCAACATAACTGTTTTGGGACCTGGCCAGGAGAATGTTTCATCTTCGGATGGTGATACAGTTTCACTTTGTTCTTTTCCATCTTTATTTTTCGATACCTAAAATGAAAAGATATTTAAAAGTTAACTACACAATATACTTCTTAAGTTGGAAAAAACTTTATATAAAAATATAGTACCTAAATGCAGATATGAACTTAATGAAGGAAAACAACCATATTCTGATGTATGTATTACATGTATTTCAACATATCATGCAGATCATCAAAGACCAATTTTTTTCCCCCAGGAATGGATATTAGAAAAATTAACAATCAGAAACATAAAACAATTCTTGGAAATTAGAAATATTCTGGCTAAAGTTAAAGTGCAATGGAAAGGACGGAAGATAACATCCGGGAAATCTCTCAGAGCACAAGGGACTAGGGATCAGAAACTATGAAAGAGGAGGCCATGGAACTCTAAGGAACAAGACTAAAACTTATCAGATAGTCTAAAGGATGTTTGAAAATAACAGAAAAGGCCTCCAAAGTTCTGAAAACAAATTCAGCATTCACACAGATAATCCTTCTAATATTCTGGCCTTACAGTTCTTTGGGGAGCTCTGGTGGTGTAGTGCCTAAGGCATTTGTCTGCTAACCAGAAGGCTGATGGTTCAAATCCACCAGCCACTCCTTAGAAGGAAGGTTGATGGCAGTGCAATACATTTTTGGGTTTTTTTTTTTTTGCATTACAGTTCTTTGACCTCCTCCCCTTCACTCACAACTTTTTCCTGGTCATGACAAAAACCCCTTTATAATCTCAAATCAAGGATCTCATTCTGGAGCCACCACCTACTACTTTTCAATTTGTTCCCTCTAGTACCTTAATCCTTACAATTCTCCGATTTGGGACTGATATTCATTGATCCAACCACCCTTTCCCTGCCACTCACTGCTCTTCTGTCCTTATTTCCCTCTTAAACTAACTTCAATTCACTCCTTTGCCCTTCTCTCATTTCCTCAAAGTTGTCTGGCAAATCTTAACCCTGGGTAAACCCAACCTATTTACTTTAGGTCTGCACCTATGCAGCTGGATGAAAAATAAAAACTAAGGTGACTTGTTTTCATGGCCAATAACATAAGAGAAAACAGAAGCAATAAGATGAAAACTTAGTCACCCGCCACTTCTACCCACCTGCCTGCAGCTGTGTCCATTGTCTCCTGTTTCCCTCCCATCACAATGGATGAACCATGCACTCATCCAAAATCCCACCATTTGAGTACTAGATCCCATTCCTTTGTGTATTCAAAGATATGTGCCAGTAATTCTCTCCTCTCTTTTGCACTATTTTCTCTTTACTAAATCATCCCAATTAGCACACACACACATCTCGTAATTTCTCTAACCTTAAAAAAAAAAAATTCTCTTGACCACAGCCCTCTCCAGCTACCACTTTGTTTCTCTCCAAAGCAATCCTTGAAAGTTGTCTATACTTGCAGTCTCCAATTCTTTTCTTTCTATTCTCTCTTGAACTTTCTTAAACTAGGCTTTTGTCTCAAACTCCCTGAAATTGCTTGTGTCAAAGTCACCAATGACTTCCATATTATTAAACTGAACGTTCAGTTCTCAATTCTCATCTTAAGTGACCCATCAGCTAGGAGAAAGATTACTCCCTTGTTGAAAAAATTTCTTCACTTGGCTTCCAGGACCCACACTGTTTTGCCTCCTAACTCATCTGCTAGACCTCTGACCTTGGAATACCAGGGTTTTAGTTTGTGCACTTCTCTATCTATAGTCTGTTTTTGGTGATTTAATTCTGTGTCGTCCCTGGGTGGTACAAATGGCTAAGTGCTGGACCATAATCAAACCCACCCAGAGGTGCCTTGGAAGACAGGACTGAAAATCATATGGAGCAGTTCTAAAATGCACACATGGGATTGCCATGAGTCAGAACTGACTCAATGACAACTAACAATAACATAAGCAAATGGCTCAAATTCTTATCTCTAGCCCCAAAATCTTCCCAATGTAATAGGTATCTCAAACTTAACATATGTGCATCACTGGTGGCGTTCTGTATTAAATTACTGAATTTTTACACAAATAATACACATATTCTACTTTTTTCTTTTTTGCCAACTGCACCCTCCTCCCCCATAGGAGTATCTTCTACTGTCAGTGCTGGCCTGCAGGGGGCAGACAGCACTGAGCTTCTTAGAGAAACTGGTGTTTCTCAGTTCTCTCAGAACCTGTGTCTTTTGCTTTGGTAAATGGAGTGTCCTCTGGGCTCTCCTGAAGATCACGGTTGTTGTTGTTGTTGTCGTTATGTGCCATCGAGTCGGACCCAACTCATAGTGACCCCTCCTTGAGTTTCCAAGGCTATCACTACGGAAGTAGATTGGCCAACCTTCCTTCTGAGGAGTGGCTGGTGGGTTTGAACCGCCAGCCTTCTGGTTAGCAATCAAGTGCCTTAGCCACTACACTACCAAAGCTCCTAAGGAACACAGTTAGCTAGATGGTTTTCTGGTCTTATGTAATAGACCCATCCCTAGTACTTTAAACCTTTAGATTCCTCTTCCACAGCTGGCCCTAGCAGTTCTGGCATCCCCACTTCATTTAAAATGAAATACCGCTTTTTCGAAGGTTCCATCCTAGTGTAGTATACTTGAACCTGTATGAAGCCCGTGTCTCAGAATTAAACTGTGTCTTGTAAAAATGTCCCCAACTCAACAGCTTTATTCATCTTTCTATTCTACTCCCCTTGAATTAACATGCTCAGAACCACACCCAACTGTACTATCGCTTATCTACTATATGTAGCCAGGTCTTGTAGTTGCTTTAGCATATAATCCCTTTCTCTTTTCTTTACCCAGGTCTTGTTTTGCAGCTTTATTAGGTGGGACCAGAGCAGCTTTTAGCGTAGGGCTAATTTTGCTTCCATAAAGATTACAGAAAGGCATATTGAGCTTACAAAAATATTTCTCATGGGGAGAGCGCACTGTTGGCAAAAAATAAAAATACAACAACACACAGAACATATGAGTTAACTGTGTAAAAATAGAGTAAAACTCCAAGCTCATTTCAGTAATTCTGAAATGTTACCTTTATCAAATGACAAATACTTGAATATGCTTGACTCTATTTTTAATTATGCTTCACCAATGAGTCTGTCTATTCCTCTATATTAAATTGGTTTAAATGGAAGTGTTAAAATTTAAAAATGTTCCTGAATGAAATTTTTACATGATAAAATATTTTATAATACAAAAAATAAAGTAAGAGAGGTCTAAACTCCTATAGTTTCTGATCATATAGTCAATATTTGGGCTGCTACTAGTTAGCTATTCATTAATCTTATTTTCTATTCTTCTGGAAATACAGCTAGATAGTAACATTTCCCAGTCAAATTTGTAATGGGGTAGCCATGTGATTCAGTTCTACCTAGTGGAATATGAATGAGAGTAATATGCAATATACAGAAACAAGCAATAGTGCCTAAGGCATTTGACTGCTAACCAGAAGGCTGGCAGTTCAAACCCACCAGCCACTCCTCAGAAGGAAGGTTGGGCAATCTACTTCCATAGTGATATCACCTCGGAAACCCAAGAAGGGGTCACTATGAGTCGGAGATGACTCGGCAGGCACATAACAACAGCAAAAAAAGCAGTAAACAAATGGAAATTGGAAAAAAAAAAAATCATTTACAACAGCATTACAAAAAAATGAAATACTTAGGGATAAATGTGACAAAAGATTTTTAAGGCCTGTAAATATCTAAAACACTGGTGAGAAATATCAAAGAATTCCTCAATAAGTGGAGAGCAATACTACATTCATGATTCAGAAGACCAAGTATTGTTAAGATGCCAACTTTTGCCAAATTGATCTACAGGGTAGACAAAAGCCCAGCAGATTTTTGTGTAGAAGGGACAGGCTGTTTCTAAAATTCACTTTTAAATCCAAAGCACCAAAACAATATTGGGGGGAGGGGGGAGTATTTACACTACAAGACTCCAAAGCTTGTTATAAATTTACAATAATCAAGACAGTTATGGCACTGGCATCAAGATAGCAGATAGATTAATAGAACAGAATGGAGACATGCTACCATGTGAAGCAGCCATTCTACTCCTAGGTATCTATTTGAGGAAAATGAACTCATAAGTCAGTACTGTACACTACAAATACTTATACTCACAAATAAACCTGGAATAATTGTCTATCCCTATGCAAAAAAAAAAAAAAAAGCTTTAATCTATAACTCATATAACAGAAAAATTAACTCAAAACGATAATAGATAAGTTCTAAAAGAAAATCTTTGTGAACTAAGGTTAGGCTAAGATTTCTTAATATATGACACTAAAACCATGATCCATAAAAGAAGAAAGAAAAAGAAAAAAAAAAAGAAAGGTAAGTGGGACTTATCAAAATGAAAAATTACTGCTCTCTGAGACATGCTGTTAAGACAATGAAAAGGCAAAGCCACAGACTGGGAGAATATATTATGATTATGTTTTGAGCAGGCAATCTGTTGAAAAGGAGTTTCCCTAGGGGTGTGGCCTGCTTCCAGTATATCCAAGGACATCCTGGGAAGAGAGACATTCTTCTGTGGATCGGGATTCTGTTGTGCTGCCTACAACTGTCCATGAGTGAACAGTCCACCATTTGGCCTGGAGATCTTGGATTCATCATTC